GCGTGTACCAAAGCTCGGCGGGGCAAGAACCTAACACCTTTCAGGACGTTGTTGTAACTCTCGGACATGTTGGTTGTCAAAGTACCCCATCTACGTCCTCCGTCTCCAAACAGGGTCCACTTGTCCAGAGGAATTCTGAGCAGGTAATCGTATGCGTCCGGATTAAAATCCGAAAGCCGCGATCGTATCTGTTCAAATTTTTTCTCTGAAACCTGTGAACCCAACTCCCAACACCAATTTCAGATTTTGTTATTCCTGAACCTAGTAACCACGTTGCTCCAAAGGTGTCGAAGACAAATCCGGTGATATGTAGCGGGTTCTTGCCAAGATTCCAATGATTTCACGGCACTCTGTAAGCCCGCATCCCTATCCGAAAGAAAGCATATCTGTCTGTCGCCGACAACATGTTGCTGGAGATTTGTCAGGAAAAATGACCAGCTTTCCTGGCTCTCTTCATCCACAATCGCATAGGCAATTGACAATAGCCGCTTATTCGCAGTCTGTGCAACGATCACAAGCAACTTCCCCTTGTACGAGCCACGCCAATGTGTGTCGTCCATGCTAATTACCGGCGGGCATCTCTGGAAGGTCTGAATGGCGGGACCAAACGCCCAGAAAACAAATTTGAATTCTGTGCTGATAGTGGGCCGCCATTTCCCCCACCTTGTCATTCCCACTCTACAACCGTAGTGGGATTCGCTCTTTGAAGAGCCGCAAAAAACCTGCACGTTACAAAACGTAATCGTCAATATATAAACATAGTGACAAATAACACGTACATTTTTAATAAATTTTTTATTACTGAGGGAGTTGTGCGAAGTTCGATTCCCAAGTGCCATACAAAAGATCGATGGCCTTTTTCCTCCCGTTCCATGCCTTCTTGTAGCTCACATCGACTTTCCAACATTTTTTAACATCCTCCTGGATCAGGGTAACACTGTAGTCGGGTTTCTTTTGAATCTTGGTCATGACAAGATTTGAGATCATTGTGGCGGTTACATTTCTGTGGTCATTTTTTTTTACTTCTTGCATACAACTGTGCCTCTTAGTCCATTCTCTTACTTCCCACAGTTCATGAACCCGTACAGTGCATCACTCGATCCCTCCACGGACAAGGTTCATCTTCGTTAGATGTGCACACCACCTTGAATGATTTCTTATTCGAATAGGTTGTCTTAACCTCCCTCAACCTACTAACGTTCCAATTCATGATACCCATATGTGCTTCTTCCTTGGACCGGAAAACAGTACCCAAACGGATAGTCTCGACATGCCCATCCCACACTGGCAAGGCATACTCATCCCGGTCTACACACGCCGGGTCCCACTCACCCATCTCGCGATACACGTGCTGACCGCTACCAGGAAATGGGTGTTCTTCAATAAATTCTGGTTCACTCTCCTCGTTTATTAATCTATCTGATTCCGTTTCCGAGGTGCCATCTGTGAAATCGTCTTCACCGTGAATAAAATCATCTTCACTTTCTTCCTCATTATCGCATTCTCTAACTGTTGAGCTTGTCCCTTCGCCAAAATTATGAACATGCAAAGTGGACGTACCTCAACATCAGCCATTCCCCAGTAAAAAGGGGCAACATCCTCAAACTGCGTTACCTCTGTAGGTGCCTGCGTAACTTGCTTCAACTCTAAATGCAAATACACATAGGAGAAATAAGGAAAATTATATATCCACTGAAGAGCACTATTAGTATTCAGGTTTCCAATATTCCACGATTCATCGGGTTGGTTAGTCAGTAAACTAATCTCCTCAATTATCCAACCATCTCGACGAAACCCAAAATTTTCATAAAGAATATCTACCAATTGTTTCAATGATATCTTCTCCCCAATGCTAAATGAACCATCCGAAGAGTTTTTAAAATCTGAAAAATAATATAACAACTCCTTGGGATGATTCCAATACACATTAACAAAGTATGGTCCGGTAAACGTCACTTATACCTGATACAAAAAATAATTCTTCCTAACTACAACAACACATACTTTCTAACCTTCCCACAACCAAAAAATAAAATTCATCAATAACATATAATGCACTTTCAATTCTTCTCAATTACAACAACACATAATTTCCCAAAAAATTCAATTATTCTTTTACTCAAATCAAGATAAATATTTCCAATTAATACGACAATAACAAAAAAAAATTACCAATTCTTTTATAAAATAACTCTCCAAAACCCTAATTCTCATAATCCAACCATACAATACAAATCATCCAATTTTCGCAAAAATTCTCAACATACACCGAAACCCATCATCCAAGAACAATGTATAATCATTTAACACAACTATTAAATCAACAATAAAACTTTTCTAAACTATACTCATCAAAACCAAACAAATATTTCTTACACATTCATAAACAACAAAAAAAATGTAATTACATTACATTAAAATAACAACTAACCTTTTCTCCGAATCGATTGATTGTTAAAGGTTTTTTTTTTTTAATTTTCAGGTGAAGGAAAATGATGAAGTCAGTTTTTTTTTTCTTCTCGCAGTGTTTGTTCGCGCAGAGTGGTGGAGGAGAAGATTTTTTCGGACTTATATTTTGTTAAAAACCGTATTTTGTAAATACGTTTTTAATTTTTTATTATATTTGAAAACGTATTTAAGTTATACGTTTTATTTTAATTTAAATTTTTTCTTAAAAATTAATTAATATTAAAAATCGTATTAATTAAATACGTTTTATAAAACAAAATTTGATTTATTTAGGCTTTAGGGTTTAAAATTAATTTGGGATTTTCAGAAAAACGTATTTTGAAAATACGGTTTAAAATTAAAATTGGATATACATTTTCGGCAATATATTTTTTGAAAAAGTAAACAAATTTAATTTAAAGACGTATTCAAGGTTACGTTTTTCACTAAAAAATAAAATTAAGAAAACGTATTTGGTAAATACGTGCTTTTTATTTCGGTCAACTCCTTTTTTTTTGTCCACTTATTTTTCAATTTTTTTTTTTTAAATAAATCACCCTCATACGTGGTCATAAGTCTGCCACAATGTAATGTGTCTTTTTTTTTTTAACTGAAACGATGAATATAATAAAACTCGGAAACAAAATACAATATCCGGGAGATTACATAATAAGACCTTGCTTGCAAGGATCTTGCAGAGCAAGTGATCAACGGGAACTAGAGGTTCCAAAGCCAACACTACCAAATGAACAAAGACCAAAGCCAAGATACTATAACTACAGCAACAACATAGAAAAGAACTAAAATATTTACAGGAAGAACAAGAGAAGAAAAACTACACAAAAGACAAGGCAAAACTACAGAAAGCTAAGCACAAAAGCAGCACCCTCCAAGCCTGGCAAGCCCCACAAAACACCTTGCTATTAGCTGAAAATCTGCACTGCTGACTCATTGGTTAGCCTACAGAGCTGATATCAAGAGAAACCAAAAATAAAATCCCAGGCTCCCAGCAAAACAAAACATCAATACCAAAACCAAGAACAACTAAACAGACAAAAGGCCTGCTTCATCAAACTCCAACCATTCTCTTTTAGCACCACAAACAATCTCCAACTCAATCCGTTTTACTTTTTGAAACACCCAAGAGTTTCTCGTTTTCCATAGCCACCATAGAACACATGAGGTGACTTTGTTAATTATAATTATTAATGTGAGGTGACTTTTTTAAAGATTTTTCACACCAAAAAAAAAAATAAAACCCTCGTACCTAGATTTGTTTCATATTTCATATAAAACTTCCATAAAAATAACATGATTTTTTATAACCAATAGACGTATCATCTAGCTGACATCAAACAAAGACCATCACAGAACTAGATTTCAATCCAAACTAGAAAATGATGTCAAAAGAGGCATCGTATCATTGTAAAAGGAAAATAAATCATTCAACCAAATTATAATTTCTCAACAATTTCAAGTGTAATGGAGGTGCTCAACTACTGATGAACATAAAAGCTAAAACTAAACCGGCATAACATGAATTGTAAAGTTACAATTTTTCTTTTCTGTCTGACACTTGTTACTCGATTCATACCCGGCTGCAAATCGGCCCTCTCATCCTTCACAAGAACAATCTCAATAATATGTCCATATTCTCCAAACACAGCTGCAATCTGATATCAGAAGAGGAGAATAAACCCATTTACAATCTGAAATCAAAAGAGGAGAATGATATGTCCATATTCTCCAAACCATCGTGTGAAATTGTCGTCTTGAGGGTGGTAGCCGTCGTCGGTTATTATACGATTTTCTTTGGTCCCGTAGGGCCTGCACACCGTGGCCCGGCTCGGAGGAGACGATAAGGGCCTGAGAGTCGTTAAAGAAGCGGTTTCGAGTCTGGAGGCAATGTTTTAAATACCGTACCGGTGGTTATACCGATCTAGCCACCGGTACGCGGTATTCCCGGTCGGACCAGTAATATCGGTGGTATTCTCGGACTAGCAAATATAATGATTTATATAAATATACATAAAATATATAATACCAAATGCAAAAAAGTAAAAAAAAAAATATATGACCATAATCATTAATTTCACCTTCTCAATGAGATAAAAATAAAACATTTTAACTACCAATTTAAATTTTATGTTTTTCAATTAATAAATTTTATTTTTTTTATTATTGACCGGTATTTACGGTATGATTCTGGTACAAACCGGTATAACCGTAAATTCGGTATTTTGAGTGTAGTAGTACCGTACTAATGGCTGGTATCCGGCATTACCAGCCGGTACGGTACGGTATTTAAATCATTGCCTGGAGGGTCGTAAGGTGGGAGGAATAGGAGGAGACAACACTTTTTGCAGGCGGTGGTTGACCATAGCCGGCAGTTGCTCTTGTCGAGGGAGGTGTATTGCCCTGGGGTGACGTAGTTTGATTTGGGGAAAGTTTGATTTTGAGAAATGAAACTTTAATTATTTTGGTGTCGAAAAGCTTTAAGAAGGCCACCTCACATTGATAATTATAACTAATAAAGTCACCTAATGTGACACGTTACATTGTGGCATGATTTACAGCGGCCGTATGGGCATCATAAAATTTTTGTTTATTTTAGTCCATTTTTTAATTTCGGAATTGGAGTTATGATCTTAAAACCAAATTACAGCAAGCGAATTCCCTGCTAAACTGATAGAATTTCAGTTTTCAATACACAACTGCTGATTGGAATATGAAAACCTACTGGTAGACAAACACAACTACTTGAAGTGAAAAAGGAGACCTAGTCGAAACTAACATAAACAGGCTTCATTCACAATTGATTGAAGCAAATCAAAATTACAAATTTGGCTTTGAGGGACTCAAGTCTCACTCCAATTCCCATCATCATCTCCGTCACTTGCAACAGCCTGAATGAATGGGCAACATATTCACAGTCAAACCAAGGTAGAAAGCTAAAGCTAAAGCTAAAACAATTGGATACAAGAAAAAAAAATTCAGTTTCGCACATTAGTTGAGATCTATTTTATCGAAGTTATGCACTGAAAAACAAAAATTCAGAAAAAAAATACTATTTATTTTCACTTTTTTCTCTACTATATTTTTAACACAATAATAAAATAAATCACTCATTATTACATATATTCCGACAAACACCATTCATCCTCTTACGTATTCTTATTATCAATTATTACCAATTAATATCTTATTTTCTATTTATATCACATCAATTTTAATTATTATTTTTTTATCTTATTCATTCACATCAACTCCTAAGAACCTTTCCCCCCTTTTTCAATCGCAACCGAAATTTGTCTGTTGCCGGTTACATAAGGGGAGAGAGAGAGAGAGAGAGAGAGAGAAACCTGACGAATTGCATTTGCCTTCTCTATAATTGCAGTGACTTGTACATTGGCAGAGGCTACTGTTGGAACTGTTGGTTTTGTAGTTACAGTTGGTCTTAGATTGAATGACTACGGAGAGAGAGAGAGAATGGTTAGTGTTGTAGTAGTAGATGTAAAGCAAACAACAAATACAATCTTATAAACTCATGAGACAGAAAATAAATGGTCGTGAAGGACTGAAGGAATACAGCTTACTATATACCAACTATTCTCCAGCTAAATATGCAGTGACCTTGAGCTATGTAAAAATCCAATTCAATAAAAATGTGATTAAAAACAATAGCTCAAGTAAGCAGTAACTTACTTTTGTTCTAATTTGGTGCAGAAAGTCTTCCTTTTCGTCTATGCTCCTAACCCGATTCGTCTCTTGTTGTCCATTTGATTCCCACAAGCTGGACTGCTGAATTCACAAATAGTTTCATATTATCCACTCAACTTAATTTACTAATAAAAAAATGGGGGGCGTCAGGAAACCTAAAAAACATGCTAACAAACCTTGTTTTTCCTCATATGCACGGTATCAGTTGGATCCTCACTAGACGGAGCAGGTTTACGCTGAGAAACATTATTTGTTGGATGGGTAAGACCAAATTCATAATGAGAGCCATTAGCGCTTTCTTCGGACTTTTCCCGCTGAACGGGAGCCAGAGGCGGAGGAGCAGGCATAACCACAAACTGCTGTGGGCCCACAACACCTTTCGGGCTCAAAACATCATTCTTCAATTCCTTCCCCTCGTTTACGGGCCCAAAAGCCCGATCATCAAAAGAACGACAACACCCAGTATTTCCCAACACATTCTCAACAAAAGGAAATTCTTCATGCTTCTTGTCCGGCACAGTCGACACAGATATTCTGCGCAGCGCGTCGTATATATCGCAGTCCTTACCTGTTGGGGACTCGCTCGACTCCCAGTTCTCAGAATTCGATTCCGAACACCGATTGCTGAGAGAATCGTCCGATAAAGCTGGCGAAGATCTGTAGAATGTGTCGACATCCGAATCCGAACCGAAATTTTGACAAGAAATGGACACCTCAGGGACCAACTGAAATGAAGGAAAGGTGTTGCCGCCGCCGTTTTCGGTACTTGCATCGGGAAATTTCAATTTCAGTTTCAAAGTCTCGAAACCGTCTATAGGCTGGAAAGATATTTTCATGTGCGCGAGGGGAGGTGATGAGGAAGGCGACATTATGGATCTTTCACTAGAAAAGAGTTCTTTATTTTGTCCGCAAAATGTATGATTCGCAAAAGGTAGGCGATTCTTCTGCTCAAAAGCATTCGTGTTGTGACGGATTGCAGGGGAGTTCTTTCTATTCTCGCCCAACAGTAGATTATTGTTGGCTCCAGTGGATAGCCACGTATTGCTTGGTTCAAACATTTGAGATGAAGTTACGGCTGATCCAATTCTAATATCGGCATTATTGTTCTGATGAATTGGGCCGCTTAACTTCCCGCTTTTAACGTCCAAATCAGCAGGCGGTATTTTCCAGAGTGTCTTTGTAACTGATGGGCCACTTCCTTGGTTATCATGGCTTGTGGAGCTATCCATACTTAGATTATCTTCAATATGCTTGAAGATTTCGGTTTGAGTTTGAGAAGCTGCTTTGTCACTGTCGATGACATGTTGAGTAGATGAACCAATGTTTCCTTCTTTCTTAACCGCAAGTCCTTGATGAAGAGAACTTAACATACTGAAATCCGGTGGTTTTGATGGCTGGAGTCCTAGCAAGCCACCGTTAGTCCAGAATGTGACGGGCATGACATTAGAAGTTTCTGAAACATGTTCCTGAGAGTCATTGGAAATCTCCATCTCTGGTAGATCATCCATGATGTTAGATGATGCAGTGCATGAAACAGATTCTAATATATTGCCAGTATTACTGCTTTCATTCTCATGAGAATCAACACTCTGAAGGCAACCTGGATTTAATGATCCTCTACCCATTTGAGATGACTGTAAATCCATGTCGACTAGAAACTCCGAATTAAATTCATCTGCATCCAACTTTGTTGGGTGATGGGATTTTGGAGATGGTGAGATGAGATTATTATCACAAATAGCATTGATCAGGGAACTTTCGGCCAAAATGTCAGTCCCAGAACTTGAAGATTGGCACTCTAGATTACGTTGCACGACCTCACTTACTTCCTCTTTTAGTGATTTATCCTCCAGCTCAGGATAATGCTCCACTAGTTTCAGTTTTGTGCAGTCAGTATCAGTTTCACACTCTGACTCAATGGTATTAAGAGCATCCATAAAATGATCAGTTTCGCTTTCAATGTCATCAGCTGGGGCACCAGCAGATTCAGATGTCCGCACAACCTGATTGCGAGGCTCGCTATTCATATAGTCATTGATTCCAATATCATCAGCTATACAACCGAGATATTCATCGTTCACGACAGGGGAAAAAGACTCTACATGCCTAATATGATTGTTGCTCGGCGTCATGCCATCATTATCACGGTTCTGAGTCTTTCGCTCCATGCTTCTAACATCATCAATATTATTATTATTATTCTTTTCATTCCAAGTTCCAGAAGATGAACTAAAACCAGCTGCCTCTTGAAATGGACAGCTCCGAATATCACCATACGCATCTGTAATTTTTTCGTCGAGGAAATTGAAATCAAGGAAATCATTTTCTTGCTTCTTGACCAGTGAAGAAATGGATTCCCTAGACTCTTGTTCTTCTGGTTGCACAGAGTTAGTTGGATGGAAATAACCTTCAGTGTGGTCTGATGCATTTTTCAAGGTAGAAGTTGTTTGCACATTGAAATCTGATCTTTGTGTAGCATCATATGTTGAGGCTGTTTGAGAAGATGAACTATGCCCATCAATGGTCGTTTGAGTAAACCGTATTCTGTAATACGCAAACGTCACATAGTAAGTCCTCACAGTAACAAAATTCAGATGGCCATAAAGAAAAAAAGAAGGAAAAAGAAAAAAGAAGAACATGTCGAATGTCCATTATTATTTCACCACCATTTCCCTGTGCTCAATTTTCTTTTCCCATATGTAAATTTCATAGCATTGTACCTGCCACTGCTATAAGCAAATGATGCATCCCGTGATACTCCTTGACTTCTAGTCCATGACCTTTTCTGTTCAAGGGTCAGCATATGTTAGCATGACTGATGAGGCAAACAATAGTATGGAAAACATGCCACAACAGACAGTTACTTTTATATATCAATGCATCAAGTTGTTGGACTTGTGTCACCTAGTACAAGTGGATAACAAATAAAAGCAATCAACAACTATCCCAGTTCTAACCACTACCAAGTTAGTCAATCAGAAGAGTGACCTACGGAAAGACGTGATGGATCATCATCTGGTTGACCACACTAACCACTAATATTATCATTCCCGAAACTGTTTAACATGATTCAGCTATAGAGCTGCCCACCTGATCATTGTTGGTTCGTATATTGAAAGGTTTGCTCTAGTTAAACCAATCTCCAGTTTTGAATGAGAATCGATATTAGATAAAAGTGTGTATGAAAATGCGAACAAGTTCACTTATTTTACATTTTAGATAATAGGTTCATCGTGTTGAACATAATATCATATTGTCAATGTTTTGTAAAATATAAATAAAGTTTACAACCTAGAAAGAAATGAACGTGAACGGTTGTAGTGTAATTTTGCAATTAGTTAATAATTACACTAGTGCACTTAGGGTCTTAGGGTGTATTGAACGATCCTGAGGATAAGTTCATTTCGTATTGACCATGTAAATTAGACCTCAGTTATTACTCATATTCTTAATCCGTAATATAATAATGAGCATGTGTAGTCAATATTTACTTATTTGATTCACCAATGAGAAATTTATTTAATAGGTTGATAGCTTTACGGACACTATGTCATGGTATGCTAGGTAAATGGTGTCCTCAAAATGAGCTCAAAATATTTATTATCCTAGACACCTTGCAGGTGGATTAATTTCTGGCATAAAAATAAAGTTGAGTTGTGATAATTTTGGAAATAAGAAATTAAATAATTAAATTAATTAACGGACGTTATATCATGAACATAGGGACATAAGTCAAGTAGATAAATTTGAAGCCAAATTGTAGGATTAAATAGGAAGTTCAATATTTTGAAATATTATTCATACATTAGTGTTGATTTGTATATTAAAAGCTCGATTTTATTTATAAATATATTTCTAGCATTTTTTAATGACAACATGTTTAGTCGAAAATGTCTCTTCTATTATTTTACATTGTAGATAATATAATTCGATGTGTTGAACAAAAAATCATATTGTCAGTTCATTGTAAAATATAAAGTATGGTTCACAACATAAGTGAAATTGAACAAACTATTGTAAAAGACTGTAGTTTAATTCTGAATTAGTTAAAATAGGTATACTCGAAAAAGCGAAAGCTTTGAGTATAAGTGGAGATTGTTGATTCTTATACTAAAAGCTTTGCTTTATTTTAAACCAATTTCTAATTTTGAATGGGAATCGAAATTAGTCAAAAGTATTTAAATGAAAATGCAAACAAGTTCACTTATTTTGCGTTGTAGATAATATGGTTCATCGTGTTGAGCAGAAGATCATATTATCAATGTCTTATAAAATATAAATAAGGTTCACAACCTAGATAAAAATGAACTAACTATCGAGAACAATTGTAGTGTAATTTTGGAATTAGTCGATCTTGACTTATGAATTATACTAGTGCAGTTATGGTTTATTGAACGACCATTGAGGATAATTCACTTTGTAATGACCACGTAAATGAACTAGACCTCAATTATTGCTCTCTCGTAATCCGTAATAACATACCATGCACGTGTATTCTATATTTACTTATTTAATTCACCAATGAGTGACATTTATTTATTAGATCGATAGCCTCGGTGTTTTGTTAAGTAATGCCTTTTACATGGTGTGGCATTAATTATTTACGGATATTGTGTCCTGAATAACATCCCCGAAATGAGCTCAAAATGTTTTTATGCTAAATTCTGCAGGTGGATTAATTTCTGGCATAATAATAAGGTTTGGTGGTATTAGTTTCGAAATGTGAAGTTAATAGTTAATTGTAAGTAATTAAATTAATAATAGGCGTTATATCTTAAATATGAGAAAATAAGTCGAGTAGTTAAATCTGGAGATAAAATGTAATAACAACAACAACAACATAGCCTTTAGTCCCAAGCAAGTCGGGGTATGCTAGAGATGAAACCCAAGAGAAACACAAAAAGACTCGAACCGAAAGAAAGAGATCGAAAAAAAAAAGAGAGAGAGAGAGAGAAAGGAGCAAAAGTCACGGTTCTGGCACGTTGATAGCGAGCCTCCAAGCGCTCCTATCCACCGCTAAATCCTTGGAGATATTCCAATCTTTAAGGTCTCTCTTAACCGACTCTTCCCAAGTGAGTTTAGGCCGACCTCTACCTCTCTTAACATCCTCGACCCGCTGTAGAACTCCCCTACGCACCAGTGCATCAGGAGGCCTCCGTTGGACATGTCCGAACCACCTCAGCCGATGTTGAACCAATTTCTCCTCAATTGGAGCCACCCCGACCCTATCTCAAATATCCTCATTTCGGATTCTATCCCTTCTTGTGTGCCCGCAGAACCAACGCAACATACGCATCTCTGCTACACTTAGTTGTTGGACATGTTGCCTTTTTGTAGGCCAACATTCAGCACCGTATAGCATCGCCGGGCGAATCGCCGTCCTATAGAACTTACCTTTTAGCCTTTGTGGCACCCTCTTATCACAGAGAACGCCTGACGCCATTTCAACCAACCATTTCAACCAACCGGCTGCAATTCTATGCCTAACATCAGCATCAATGTCGCCATCCTTTTGTAGCATTGATCCTAAATACCGGAAAGTCTCCTTCTTGGCCACCACTTGCCCGTCAAGGGTAACGTCACCATCATCATGTGAAGCCATGCTGAAAGCGCACGTCATGTACTCGGTCTTCGACCTACTAAGTCTAAAACCTTTCGACTCTAACGCGTCCTTCCACAGCTCCAACTTCCTATTTACCCCTGCTCTACTCTTGTCAACTAGCACCACATCATCAGCAAAGAGCATACACCAAGGGATATCACCTTGTATGTCCCTTGTGACCTCATCCATCACCAAGGCAAATTGATAAGAGCTCAATGCTGACCCCTGGTGTAGTCTTATTTTAATTGGGAAGTCGCTGGTGTCGCCCCCACATGTTCGGACACACGTCATCGCATCCTTGTACATATCCTTGATGAGGGTAATGTACTTAGATGGGACTTTGTGCTTTTCTAAGGCCCACCACATGACATTTCTCGGTACTCTGTCACAAGTCTTCTTAAGGTCGATAAAGACCATGTGCAAGTCCTTCTTTTGGTCCCTATATCTCTCCGTCAACTGACGTATTAGGAAAATCGCCTCCATGGTCGACCTTCCAGGCATGAACCCAAATTGGTTTTGGGTCACACTCGTCACTCGTCGTAGGCGATGCTCGATAACCCTCTCCCAGAGCTTCATCGTATGGCTCATCAACTTAATCCCACGGTAGTTACCACAGCTTTGAACATCTCCCTTGTTCTTGAAGATCGGTACTAAAGTACTTCTCCTCCATTCATCAGGCATCTTGCTTGACCGAAAAATGAGGTTAAAAAGTTTAGTTAGCCATGCTAACGCTCTGGCGCCCAAGCATCTCCACACCTCAATGGGGATACCATCAGGGCCCATTGCTTTACCTCCCTTCATCCTCTTCATAGCCTCTCCGATCTCTGCCTCTCGAATTCTTCTCACCACGCGTCTATTGGTATCCTCAAATGAGTCATCCAACAACTCCAGGGTGGGACCCTCACTCTCCCCATTAAACAACTTGTCGAAGTACTCTCGCCATCTGTCCTTGATCTCCCCATCCTTCACCAGTGGCCGATCCGACCCATCCTTAATGCATTTGAGTAGGAATATTATTCATACAAATTGAGTAGGAAGTTTAATCATATTTTTTTGGTGGAATGAAATATTATTCATACGAATTAGATGTAGGTGGACCATAACCTAAGCTATGGGGAGTTCTTATGTAACACTTTCCTAAGGTCACTGTTATAGCTTATAAATACACCAAACCGTCTCATAATTCACAGGCCCCTCCTAAGAAAAATCACGGGGCGTGAAAGAGATAAATCTTGAGAGACAAAATCTGAGGTTTAGGAAAGAAAGAAAAAGATTGGTTTTCCTCCGGGAGAACATAACGTCTTCTTCTTCTTTCTTCCCCAAAACCAGACGAATGTGAGATTCGTGAGAGCAAATTCCATAGTCATCCCATCCCGTACGTCCCATCCCGTTCGTCCCATCTTCTTCTTTTAACTGATGTCCAGGAATACAACAGAAAAACTTAAGGTCAAGCGGCTACCCGTTCGTCCCATCCCGTAGACCATGTAAGTCGTCTTAGAGTTGGCAATAAATTTTAAACGGTCTGAATGAAATCCTAAACTCTAGATCCATCGCTCTTAGGATTTATTTCGTATTCAAAATTAATAGACGTTTTTCACTGAACAATAATAATACCAATCACATGACATGTGAAATGACATGATAGACCAAAAGAGCAAAATATTAGACAGGAGATTTTGTTGAATTAATTTCTCTAACCCGCACCTTGAGGTGCAAAATCTTTTCTCTAAAAGCCAAGCGCACTTAACCTATCTTAACACGGTACCGGGAAAGTACAATAATTAGATGGTAGGACTTCCCCAAAACTCTAATACTATATTGGATATCCACTTCATCTCAAAACGCTTATGAGTATATCTTGCGAAGATACTAAAGATGGACATTGTTCTTGGCTATTGGCATTTTTGCCCCACACAATAATTTTGGAAATAGTCTAACAAACAGCATGTACACAATACACTCACTACCTCTGCACATCTAAACTATGATACTAGGAGTCATTTACATCCCTATATATTTCGTATAACAGTTTTAACAATCCGACACTGAAGATTTGGTTCCATCAGTGCAGTCTTGTGTTCTTTAAACTTTCTGAGCAAGATAAATTCCATATCTAGACAACATTAAGGGTATTCCTGGTGAAACTGATGCAGCCACACTTTAATCATTCCTATTAGTGGGGGAATCAATTGATTACAACAGTAAGCCATGTACACCAATCCTCCAACATAATGTCATAAAAGATGTTACCTTAATCTTACGACCCTTCTTATCTTTTGAAGTTTTATAGCAAATAGCGTCACCAGATGCCTCTGATGCTCTTCTAAAGAAAGTTGGATCGGAATACCTTTTCAAGCAAGATCCAGGGCCACCAGAGTCGAACCTAAAAGCAGAGCACAAACAGTTATTTGCAGACTGAGAACGAGTCAGGGTACATACTTTAAGAACGGTATCCATACTTATCTAGCAAGTGCAAGCAAGGAGGGCCACGGCTATCTTCATACGAATCCATAATAAATTGAGGCATGTCACTGTATATAAAATGATTTTGTTCACACCGGATATATGGGTGGCAATTAGAACCTGCAATAGAGTTTTCTAGTAAGGACCTAAAACATGGGACTGATTACTACAGAAGAAGAAGCCAAGAATTTAGTCATACCAAGAGTATATGCTAAATGCAAGTGGCTCCTTTGTGCCAGCAAAGCCTTTTCCAGCGGAGAAAGTGAAGTTTCAATCCGTTTAACACGAGCCATCAGCTTATGGCTTCGAGAAGATGTTCTCGTGACTTCCTCCTGTAAGCTATGAAATATTTCTGCTGCGAACCTACCATGTGCAGAGCTATTTTCAGCTTAAAATGCAATTGTTTGGAAATGTTGATCACGAAGAAAATAGCCTGCCACACAATATCTTCTCCATTTTAAGAAGCATATCCCATTAATTCCCAAGCTTCCTTTGAAATATGTGTAAGCAAAGATACGAATAAATGTACAAAACCAAGGATTTGACCTCTCAGCACCCAGATTCCTCCCAAGAAAACTTGACCTCCTAATTTTAAACCTTTCAGCACCCATATGCCAAACTTCAAAAGGTTTCCATCTCTTCAAGTCAAATATTAACCCCATCCAGCAAAATCAACTAGCACGGTACAATGAAAGAAAGGAAAAGAAAACCTTACAATCCTTTCCTCATGCCACTAACTTTAGCAGAAATTTCAGATTAAACTCTTCTCTCTACAAATTCAAACAACCTCTAAAACCAGAACATAGGGTACAAAATCTCGAAGTAAAACCAAATCGTGTTCTAAATTACAAACATGTTCCAAATCATAACTACAGAAAACTGGAACTAGAAAGCTACAAAATCGTCCAAGGAGTTGTTAAAGAAAATTTAGCAAGAAGAAAATTACTCAGCAAGGTCCCCAAGCTGACGTAAGACTCCGACGAGTCCAGCGACGGCGACTCCTTGAAGAACCTCCTTGGGATCTTCCTTGTTCACCTCTCTGTACAACTCCTGCGCTCCGAGAGCGTACTCATTCCTCACCTCCGCTCTCACCAATGGCATCGTTGTTGCTTCACGAACACAGGAAGAAAATGGGATTCACCAATTAATTTTTCCTTTTCAGAAATCGAATTAAATGCTGGTCAATCACTCAATCTATGAAGTAATGATGAGTGAGAAAGGGTACCATACCAAGCTGGAGAGAGAGAAACGATTAGGTGAGATTCGAAGCTGGTTAAGGCTAACTAAACTACTGAGAAATAGAGTGTGGGACAGTGGGAGAAATTTTATACATACATACATACATACATACACACTTTGTGTGAGTGGTGTGAGTGTGTGAGAGAGAGAGTAGCAGACAACTAAATAAAAAATAAAAGGTCATTTTGCCAACTCTGCAAGGCATCTTTGTATTTAAAATTGGAGATATTTGTATTTAAAATTTTATAATGACCAGATTGACCATGGGAGACATTTTCTTTCGTTTTTGTTGGTCATTTGCTCCTTTGTTTTTGTAGTCCGCCGTCTCACCGTGAAGGACCAGCCCCATGATATCGCCGTCCATAAGAACCTAGATTCTCGCTCCACTACACTATATTTTAGTATAGAATAATTATATGAAAAATAGATGGTCGTTTTTTCAATTCATTATTTACTCTACGTCGACGACTATTTTTATCTTAAATCTAGTCCCACCCAATTTAATAATTAAAAATTATTTTTCTCCCACCTTCACATTTCAACTTTACAATTCAATTTATTATTATTAATTATTTCCAAACCAACTATATCTAAATATTTATTTTATTTTAATTTTTTATTTAAAAATTACAATTGTGTTCCAAAATATATTAAATGTATAGTATGGATACACATAGGGACTAGTGTGGGCCTACGCCCACAATGAAATGTTTGAGTAAATAATGATAAAGAGGAATTTTGTATTCTGAAACTGCCATACAAATTTTCAAACTAATATGTTTGAATTTATTATTTAGTGGATTTGAGTGCCAAGAAAATAAATAAAATTAACAAAAACAATTCATTCATAATCTTTATTTACTTTTCTAGTACTTATGCTCAACCTTTTGTTTCTTATTTTTCCATTGTTTTTCTATTATTTGATTTCTTATGTAATTTTTATTGTTTTATGCTTTGTGAACTTAACAATATTATTCTAATTTTTATCATTCATTTTAAAAGTATATACCATGTTTCTATAATATTAGTTAACAGTTATTGTCCATATCTAGGAACATAATTGTGACTCTTTTTTTCTAAATATATGAATTAATTTTATCTAAATTGTCAATTCGTTATCAAGATTTACGTTAGAATTGAATACACACGTCAATACTTCAATAATTTTTAAGTTTTGTATATGTTGATGATAAAATATTTTGGAAAATAAATTATATTTTTGGGAATTAATATAGATTGTTCGAATTGAACATAATCAAAAAATGAAAAGGTTAAATATTGTCAAAATAATACTTTCACTTGAAATCTTATTACTCCTTACATAGATTTTGGCCCACACTCAATAAATTTTCTAGATCCGCCCCTGCAAGTGTGGTATCTATTTGTAGAGAATGAAAAATATGAATTTTAGTAATTTTTTATTTTTTTAAATCAAGAAAATACCCTTGTCCAATAAAAATGAGACAAGTGTCCTATTCTCACAAAAAAAAAAAAATTGGTTGCGGGTCACATTGTGACCTGCAGGTGACCCAACATTTAGGTCACTAATTAAGTAAGTCTAACTAGTAAGCAATCCATCGGATAAACTTATTTCTTATTTTTTTAGATATTATTTTAAATATACTTGTTTATACTTGAACATCTCATTATGGCAAGAAAAAAAATACAAAATATAAAATAATATATTATTTATTTGTGTATGTAATAATTAAGGACTTAAAAAACTAATGCGTACGTAATAAGTAAGAACTCAATAAAGTACAATCAATACGGAATAAATCATTTTTCATGAACAAATTCCCAAACCAAAACGACAAAGTGAAAAATGTATTGTCTCCTTTTCATGTCAACTCAAATTATTATCATTAATCTTGTATGTGCAAAGCATTGAGAAAAGTAAAATAGATCGTGCATTGCATAATCAAATGAATCTCTATTTATTTAATAGTAGATCATCACATATCACCAAGTACAACTGATTCACGTGGAAAAGAGAAAAGGGAAAAAAAGAAAGGAGTAAAAATCTAGAAATCAAAGTCGCCGCCCATGTCATCCATTGTGTCGTCGTACCCATCCGCATAAGCAATTTCACCGTCAAAAACCGATGTCATCTCCCCAAGCAACAAGCCTCCGAGCAGCCGAGCACCCAATATTAACCCCAACCCGGCCCCCATCCGACCTTGTTCTTCTTAGGCTTCTAAGGCTGCCTCTACGCCCCCTACAGTAGGTACTCGTAACGCGGAGGCGCCACCTGGCCGTACTCGTACCCGCTCTCCTGCGGTGGGTATCCCAGTACCAGTACTCCTTCCATTTGAATTCACACAACCCTTCAGATGGAGATTTGGTCCATATTTTGTTCCTCGGATAAAATGTCAAACTTTTAAGATCGAGGGAAGTTGTTGGGGCGGGTCATCCCACCGAATATCTGAATAAAAGATAACAATTATCCAGAAACAATATAATCCAGAAATCTTAATAAAAGCAAATCTTCTTCCAATATAAACCAGAATACAAAGCCACACATCAATTCACGCTCAAACCATGCATTCAGAAAATTAACTCTACATTACTTAGAGTGACCAAATAGAAAAATTATGAGATAATCTATGCATAGAAAACAAAGTTTACTTAAAGAAACCAAATAAAGAAGATGAGTGAGAGCGCTACTTTTATTGACTTCCCCGTTGTTGTAACCATTTGGGTACCGCTTGTACTTATAGAGTTTATATAATAGCATTTGCCGTTTCGAGGGGGAAAAAAAATACCATGACACAACTATTTCCTCTCATTTTCATCTCCTTAAGCTCCATATTTTTCCTAACGAAGTTGGAATTTCATACTTTACAATATCATTTCATGTAACTTTGTTTTATAATAGGAGAGTATTCTTCTCACACTAACTAAAAATTAACTTCCCGAACCATACCATTATTTTAAGTTTGTCATATAAAGTTTTAAAGTTGATAAATTGCCTTCCAAAGTACATGAAATTGATGACTTGCCTCCTGCAATTAAAAACTCTAACATGACACAAAAGTTTATAACTCAATTAACAATGAATGTGGAATCGAACTTTAAAACTGATTTAGGGCTATTGAAGACTATGAAGAGATGAATAAAATAAGGTATGATTTATCGATTTCTGACAACTGGTTCATCAGAAATTAAAAATATTCGACAAAAAAGTTCGAAATGTGTGCATAGGAAAAAAATGATTGATTTTTTTTTTTTTATCAAGATATCTAATTTTTGATCGGAATGTGTCGTACGAAACCTTGCAAGACAAGTTTTCTAAATTGATAAGTCTTATGAAAATCCAATGGTGGAAAAACTAGATATTTATCAGTTTGTTTGACTGTTGATCAAAATTTGACCATTGAATTTTGATTAGTCTACCTCGTTACAAAACTCATCTTATAAGCTTTTCATTGATACCTCCCGATCAAAAATCTTATATCTTGATCATCGAAAAATTTAAACCCAAGTTTTTTCTTGCGCACGCGTGTCACCTACCTTTTTCTTTGATGTATCACCGATGAATCAGTTCTCAATTACACCTAATTTTAAAACCCTAAATAAATCAATTTTAAAGTTCAATTGAAATCCTTACTTGAGTTAAAAACTTTTTGTCAATTAAAATTTTAATTTATAGGAGCAAATTGTCATTAATCCCTACTTGAGTTAAAAACTTTTTGTCATGTTAAACTTTTTAATCATAGGAGCATATTGTCATTTTCATGTACTTTGAAGTTAATTTGTCAACTTTAAAACTTTATGAACAAGTATGGCTGATTGTTGATTGTAGAAGTCAAGTACTCATGTAAGCTTTGGATTGGAAAAGTCCTCAAGGAGCTTTTACGGATCGTGTATCACGTGAAACGTAGAAAAGTGTTATGGAACGAGTGAATAAATTTAAAATTCACTTTTCAGATGCCAATATTTGTTTTTCCTACGATTTTTACTTCAAACTCACTTTTAAGAAGCCCTAATACAATTTTTTTGTCCAGTAAAATAGCATCATTGGCTCCACAATTGGAACCGTGAAGCACAGTTGGCTCTTGCTTGCAGATCAATAATAATTCAAACAAATGAATGTTTTTTTCCTCATAGTAAGCTTACAGCATAACAAACTGGAAAGTTGCAATATGTTACATAGCTTCAAGGATGAAGAGGCATATCTCCACCGCCAATAAAATACTCTTCATTATCCAAGCTTATGACACACACACTACTTAGATATATATGCTCTCGGTCAATGAGAGACGGACCAAAATTTTTGGATACATCAGCAATTTTGTTTTGAATATCACCAGGAGAAAGAAAAATAAAAATAAAACAGCACCGTTGTTATCCAACTGCAACAGATTTCATGTTTTAGTACAACACCAGTACACCACTTTCCACCACAATAAGTTGAAAGGAAGCAAAAGATGGTAAAGGCTCCTGCTTTCTTCATCTCTAGCCAAATGGGTTTCCACTAGTGGAAGTGAAGCTTCTAGAAGCAGAATGGGGCCCCAGTAGTCCACCCAGTTGGGGATTTTGTGGGTTCAGAGATGAAAACGCCGACTCTTCAAGGCTACAATTATCAAGAGTCAAAGAGGCAAATAACTCATCAGTCATCACATGGAAAGGTGCAATTTTTACAATATAACAAATGTCAAAAGAGTTGAGAAATTTTGGAAGATTATTATAAATTCTTTTTTCATTGACTTTCTCCTTTAACAAATAACAACAGGTTAGACCTCACTTGCAACATTCCGCATTGTGTTACCTTGGTGCCATGTTGCCGGCTATTCCTTCTCCAAAGAATGAACCTGCTATAATGGCAAGATATTTTAAAATAAGTGAAATATAATATATACAACCAATATTGTGAAAACAGAATAACTGTGATCGTGTTTACTTGGAGGTGCTGATCCATATGCTGATGGTGTTTGAGCATGCATCGAAGGAATATGAAGTTGAGAGGTTTCAAGTCTTGAAGTACGCGGAGGGCCAGCTGGATTATCAATTTGGGGTAAAGCACCTTGCAGTGATGCCACTGAAGGAAACTACAAATACAGACAACTTACATTTTAGCCATGTGATAAAATCCGACGCCACCTTCAATTTTTACTACTGGAGTGCACAATCAGAATGATTAATTAATTCGTAGGGTTTGATTTGTTTGGGACACTTGCATACACTTCAAGACATTCAAATTAACAATATTAGTACTTTGAATACATAATTCAAATTAGAAAATCCAACACGATGGCCAATATTCTTTCAGGTTGAATTCAGATAGATGGATTTGGGGGGAAAATATCTATATAACTCCAAATAAAATAGATCTTGAAAACCCACCACAGTATGACTCAAAATAATAGCTCATAGGAGTAAGGAATATGAAACCCATGGATTTCAAACAAGCTTAATCCTAATCTTCTAGTCCTCCCGTCCAAATGAAACCTCATAAATGAAAGTCACAACTGTTAAATGTGTAAGTTATGGTGCTGCCATCGTGGAATATTGTGCCATAAAAGTTTTACACCTCCATGGTCCATTTGTGAAGGGAAGACAGTAATGACAATACCCCATTCTATAGTGTGGTTATGGTAGAGCACCCCAACCGTAGACTTATGATAGAGATGAAAGAATGGAAGGATATTAACTTAATAATATTTTATGCTGATTTTAAAATCTCAATTAGTGTTTAACCTTAGGGGTTTTCATTGATTTATTTCCTTAAAGCTATTGTTTCCTTACCCCTTTTATTACCTATTACCGTTTTATATAAGCTATAGTTTAGTATAAAAGAGAGGGTTGTCAAAATGATAAGTATGAAGAGATTTATTTTGTAACTGCACCACCTGCTATTGGACAAGTTTTTTGCCTTGGAGAAGTTTCATATATGTTCATCACTATTGTAATATCATCAATAAAATGTATTTTATCTTTCTTCATCCTTTACTCCTTAAAATTGGTCCAACTTGCCTTACAAACGACAACCATGGAATCCGAGCTGAAGCTATGGAGAAGGGCTAGGAAGTGCTCGAAACGTCAATTCAAAAATGTCGAGGAGACCATCACAAAACTTAGAGAGTCTCACTATTTTTGTCAACCGAGAATAACAATCCAGCAAGCGAAGCCAGCGACACCTCCCAGATAAATCATGTATACGATTTGTCAGCTGTGTGGATTCGACATCATCAGTTCTCTTGAATCACCATGCCAAAAATTTTAAAATTTGAGAGTATCTGCAACTCAAATCTCTCTACTTCCTTTGTTCCTTAGGTTCGGGCGCTATCGGCTTCATAGCGTGAAAAGATTGCAAAGGCGCCCGCTGCCCGTTTGGAATTTTTCATTCTTAATGAAGATTTCCTTGTGGTCGAGCAGCATCCTCACAATGATCATATAACCAACGCTGCAAAATCTATGGTTGATGCCTTCTCTTCTCCAATGGATGTCCAAAGGAAGAGAATTTGTGATTCATAATGACACTTTTGGCCCCTATGCAATAATCAATGGTGTTCTTTTTTTACAAGAGTCGTATAGTTTTGCCGTTTTTTCAAGATTTTTTTTTTTTTATTTATTTCAGCCTTGAGGACAAGTCTATTTTCTGGCAGGCAAGCAACAATGATAGAGGTGAGAGAACAGAAGGACATCAATTTTTCGAATATTTTATGCTCATTTTTAGGATATTAATTAGTGCTTAACCTTAGGGGTTTTCACTGATTTGTTATTTCCTTAAATGCTATTATTTTCTCACCCCTATTATTACCTATCACCATTTTATATTAGCTATAGTTTAGTATATAAGAGAAGGTTGTCAATAGGATAAGTATGAAGAGATTTATTTGTACTAGCATCGGCTATTGGGCAAGTTTCTTGCTGGGTTGGAGCAGTTCTATAGTAGTTTCATGCTTCTTGTTCATCCTTATTGTAATATCATCAATAAAATTGCGTATTTTCTCTTTCTTGAAGACTCCTAACAATTTATATGACAACAAATGTTTGACTACCACCATCCACCCTTAGATAACTTTATATAAATCAACTTAGTAGAGTGATATTATAACATGAAAATAAGTGAAACGTAGCGCATACAGCACTACAACTATGAGACACAAATACATATAATTCGCGTCGTATTTCCTTCGTTTGGCACAACAAGCTCAACAATATCAAGAAATATATCTTAAGGGCAAGCTCTGCAGTCATGTATTGAAAAAAACCCGATATTTATTTTAACTAAAGAAAGTCATTTTAAAAGAAAATGTGCTTCAAAAAGAATATGCAAGAGAAATTCCAGTCAACACATATCAATGCATGACTAATGTCACAGCATTTTTCTATTTCTAGGCGCCTTTTGATATAGTAATGCAAGCTCTGCATTTCATCTAAAGTGAAGAATTGCACTAATGCCCAGGCCCAATGTCAGTGCTACAACTTCAATCAATCTCTATCCCCATAGAATATAGTTGATACAAGATATCATAAGAAATAACTATTTAGAAAAAGACGCATCGTATCCATCATTAACTAACAAACAAAAATTACGCCAAGTGTAGTAAATACACATTTTGACACATTGGTTTTGTATGAAGAAATGAAGAATGATCAAGAAGATTAAATCAATATATGGAAAAGGGCACATACAATTGATGCTTGAGCAGGAGATGGATCATTGCCAACATCAAAAGGATTTATAGATCTTGACACTGATTGGAAACTTGGAATAGCCTGCAATTGTTAAAATCAATATTTTACACAATTTATGAACATGGCTCACAAGATTAATAAGTTGAATGTTTGATCAGGAAAGGTTATCATCCCATGTGGGTAGAAGTATTAGCAGATCCACAGTATAGTCTTAATACAAAATGAAATCGAACTTTTTTATTAGGTGAGTATCAAGCCACCCACCCACCATCTCTACAAGTCTTGACATTGTTTATAATAGATATTTAAGTCTCTGGACACCAAATCCATATTTCAACGCCCTTGATTAAGAAAATGTGTTTACATTAAATGTGACAATCATCCCTCAAGATGCCATCACCCCCATGTAGCTTTAAGTCTGTACTTATCTTCATAAAATAGTTTGTTCAAATACAAAAGTTTCTTAGTAATGATTATGAAATTTTCCTTTATAATATCTGTGTGTCTAAAATGGAACTTCATTTTTCATGGCACATCCAAATCAATCAAATAAGTGAATTAATGCAAAGTTTTTTCCTTTCTTTCATACGTTTAGACAAGCTCTACTCAACTAATTTCAATTTTCTCTACGCTCCAGAACATAAGGAGGTCACATTCAATCAAACCACCGAACCAGAAAACAAATCAAAATAGTTGAGACATTCAATTAAGAACATAACTGAAAATTTCAGAATATACCATACCACATGTGTGTTGTTGTACTGCATAGGAACCGGAGCAACATAAGGGGATCCAGAATACCAGCCTGCGGCCAGAGATGGACCATAAGAGTAATTCACTGCAAATAAATCCTCTGGCAGTGCTTTTCTTCCACCAGATTTTTCATCCAATGAAGACTTTGTTGTCAACCCAGAAGAGGTTTCATTGTTATTGAATGCTGCAGTTTGATCCACCTGCCCAATAGATGTGCCAGGTGGCGTATGCGAATTTGACACTTGCAGATTCCAAGGCTGTTAGAATTCCAGGGGAAAGATTACTTCCTCCAGAAATTTATGCATAGAAGGAAAGAATAATTATAGAGGGATGAATTACCTTATTGCTTGAAGGTCCACCAATAACAGGAGTAACTATTTGAGAACTGAGTTGGGTGACACCTCTAGGGAACACAGAATGTTGTTGAGGAATCATGGTGGGCCACTGTCCTCCAGTAGAAGCATCTGTAAGCAAGTTCCGTTCGAGGTTAGATGATTGTGGAATAGCAACAGAGGGAAATGCTGACTGTGGAATAGCACTTCCAAAGGCTGCCAAGGGAGTTGAAGAGCCTTGTGAAGAACTAGACTGGATGGGAGGCAAGGTGCCCACAGGGGCTGAGAGGCCTGATTTGGGAGCTTCCGTTAACAACTCTGAAAGTACAGATTCCATAGAACTTGAGGGAACTGTTTTTCCAGCCTCCTGCACTGAATCAAAATTTGCCCAGTCATTGCCACTAGATTTGTTCAATTGCACAGACAAAGCATCTGCAGCCACAGCTTCTTCAGTTTGCGGGACAGTAGGAAGGTCAGAAACGGCATCAAAATCAATAAATGAAGCCTCTTGTTTGATCTCAGATGGATTAGCATCTGAGGATGTCAAGCTACTGGAGGATGCAGCAGTCCTCTGCAAAAAAGAATATTCAAACTTTAGCAATTCTTTAACTAGAATATAACAAGACAAAGCAGACGACTAATAACAGTCAGAATCATCACACAAGGTGATCGGAGGAGGTGGAAGGAAATTAAAGTAAAATGGTGTGATGAAACTGTATTATGCAAAAATAGCAGATATCAATTCGTCTTAGAGAAACAATATTCAGCAAGTTATCACCAAACAAAGATGGTGCTGCTCCTTAATTATTATGTGAACCCAAAAACAATTTCAACTTTTCAAGAATATGATATGTTATGTGAAGCTAATAAAGCCTTCATAGAATAAGGCAAAAGGCACAATTCTTTTATTTCACACCAGGGACAAGTCATTGAGCAAAAAACAAAATACACACAAAATTCAAGCATAAAAAGCAGTCTTTTAGGGGCATGTTTTACCAGTGAGTGCCTCGAACCATCAGTTGACCTTCCACCAGAGGATTTTGGTGGCTCAATAACTCGTAGAGGAGATACATTATCTCCTAATATATCTCTCACAGGGCGGACTATAGGAGGGCTGGACATGTCCAAACCTCTTTCACTATCAGGTGATCTAACTTCAAGCTTAGAGCTTCCATCAGAACTTCTGTCTTCAGACCTCCTTCCATTTCCAAATCTATCCTCTCGTCGCCAGTCATTAATAACTTCAGTACGGGCAGGACTTCTTTTGTGACTGCTATTTCTCCAATTATCTTTGTCATTTGCTGGACTTTTCCCACCAACACTAGCTCCATAACGACGATCGGAAGTATCATCGTATGGTGGACTTGGTGAACCACCCTGATGGGTGTCTATCCTCCTATTTTCATAAAAATCGTCGGTTTCCCCCTGCAGAATGGCAAATGCAATTTAAAAGGCATCATGAACAAGCTTCATGAATTACGGCAAAAATTTATGTTTAACTAAAGATGGGAATTATGTAAAGGAACAGAGAACAAAATCTACAAAATGCTTTCAACAGCAACCATTAAAAAAATATGGAAACAGAAAAATGAAAATTTTACATCATAAGGACCCCCATTTATACCATCTTTGCCCTCAAAGGTTTTTCCAAGTTCCTCTCACCAGTATATCTCCTATCCACATATACATGCCTGATGAAATCACGCAGTCTTTCTATACTACTGCAAGCAACACATCAGAAAACAGACAAGTTATAAGAAATTACAACAATAAAGTTCAAGCAAAAAAAACAAAAATAGAATAGCATAACAAGATATCTTTATTACCTGCAATTGGGGAGAGAATTACGCTGGGAATCCCATTCCTTCAGATAAATTTCTCTAGCACGCTATTGTGGAAAAATTAATCACATTTAATAACGTGATCGGAGGACACTTGTATTGGTAAAATTAACATGTGCATCACCAGTGAAGGAGAATAGTTGTTCGTACCGCATTTCCCCCTTCTTGAAGGGCACTGACTTCTTGTGGTGTAAACTTAGCCATAGATACCGACTTAACTCTGTGCGTGAACTCTCGACTGCAAGTAGTTGGAGAAACATAATAAGTACATGGTGCTTGAAATGAAAGAGGATTATAAGAAGCTTTGTTACTTTCAAAGTCCTCAAAAGTTTGTCCAAAGAAAATTCAAATAACACAAACTGAAAGTCCTTATTACTCACTGTATTCCACTGCAGTTTGTGCAGACAAATGTGGAGAAGTTAGTGCACACATATTGAGGCCCCTGATTAGAAGAAAGAACAATCAATGCAATCAATTTAAAAACAAAGGTATAAAAGAAAGCTCGAACACAACAAGTCAGCCAGATGATTAAGAAATTGATTTGCATCTAACATCAATTAACATTATTGAAAAATGGATTTTACCCCCATATTCGTTTTCTCTATAGAAAAACTTTTCCAAATTAAGTCATGTCAAATTGCATCCTATGAATCAATGTTGGTTTTAACCTTCATCGATGTTCTAAAATCACTAGACAGGGCCTAAGCGGGGTCATCAAAATATTAGTAAATTTATTTATATTTATCATCATATATAACTCACGAGACATTGTATAAAATACAACAAAAGATTGTCCAAAACATAATACTCATAACTACTGAATTAATGTTATCATGATTGTAATTTTGTTTATATAATAATTTATTTATATTCCATGTACAAAAACCAAAACCTACTTTATTATATTTTGAAAAGAAATATATAACATGTTAAAAAAAATACACACGTCTTGACCATTTTGTCAGACTTCACACCTGTCTGCCAACCAAAATGGCGCCTAACTGCCCAAGCGCCTAGAAGGCCGGCCTAGGCGAAAATCAAGAAGCTTCCTAGGCAATGGCTAGCTCGATTTTTAGAACAATAACCAGAATTATGCACATATAGGTTCGTTTATATAGTTTCTTTTTAAAGAGTGGCAGAAGTATATACAGCCAGGCATCAACATAAATCTCATTTGACTCCAGATATTTAAAGTGATGTCCCATTTTGTCAAAGCATGATCCATTACCACCAAATAATGTAGGTATGGCCTGCGGAATGATGAACACTTGTGTGATCAAAGAATATTCGCACACTGCAAATTTATGAGATCAATACTCAAAAGGCCTTCAAAACAACTAACTGAAAGATGCAATGAAGACTAAACTTCGAAATTTTAGTCCCTACAGAAACTCTGTGCAATTATCTTGGCTACAAGGCTATAAATCAGGTAGGCCGGTCTTATAGAAGTGATCCAGATATCTTTGAGAGATTGAGAATTCGAATCCATTGAAAAAAATACAGAATCCAAACAAAGTTGATCTTACCAAGCTGTCGCAGTTGATGCACCTGCGATTCTCGGGAAGCTTGAGAAGATTCCTTATAATTCTCTCATTCTTCTCATCCTCCTTCAGTCGATTCGCCATTCACCTACAGAACAATAAAGCCCCGCTCACGTCTGCTTCACATATCACTATACCTAGCAACCGAGCAAATAGTACAAGCCTAGCAATCGAGCAAATAGTACAAGGACAGGTCTAGGCGAATCCAAGTTTATATGAGCAAATTAGAGAAAATATTACTGCCAGAGGACCAGATCTTGCAAAGGCACACGAGTTTGACTTGCCTGTACAGAAAAACTTAAGACCACAAAACGTTCTTAATCAGGAACTGAGAGTTCAACTGAAGCAGTGGAAATTGAATGACCAGATCGGGCAAATGATAATGCCTGAAGTCGAATCTCAGGTTTAGCTTACGTACAACTCAATTTTAAGAAATAAAAAAATACTGGAAAATGCAGAAACAGGCAAACAGCGCCCTTACGTCTGTTGAAACCGTAAGAAAATGAATGGAAAAGGAGAAAACGGGTGTATTCAATTGAATTCTTGACGGGCTGCTTGGGGTTATAAATAAATTCGTACAAAATTATTAATTTTTTTTTGTTAACTGATTTTAAAAAATATATATAGTATAGTTAGTTAGTTGAATTTTAACAGTTGAAATCCCTTTTTATTTTATGATTACAATTTTTTCAATCCACATTCTTCGTTAATCGTTGATACAAATCCACGTATCAATATAATCATTATAAAATATAAATAAAATAAAAGATCACATTAAATAGATGTAATGAAGATAAAAATTATACATGCTATCAAAACAAATTACTATAATAACGGTGTATGAAATTGATATGAGATATAAAGTTGTGTTAGAAAAAGAAAGAAAGAGTCACATAAGTCCAGAAATTACATATTCGATCCTATGACCCACGCGAGGGTCGTAAACTATTGTTCTAAGAAAATGGTAAACTATGCAATGTCCAACTGCGTGTTTAAATTATTACAATCATTCCACAACCCGAAAATCTTCCACATGCCTGAGGCTTATAAAACGACATACCTAAATTAAAACAAACAAACGGGCCACGATGGTCGGATTTAAGAATACCTACAAACAAAACTTATTTGCAATTATAATTTACTATGCACTACGCCTGAACACAATTAATTCACATATGTCATGCGAGTCCTAATTCAAATAGTGCACAAAGATGAATTAACATGGACTCTAATACCAGTTATTGGGTTTTATGAGTAACGTAATATATCTAAACCTTCGAATCTATTGAGATCGTCTGAACCTTTCGTTGGTGTTCGTCCCATCACGATTGCCTCGTTGTGTTTCTCGGTGTCTGTGTCATGCCTTGCATTGTCATGGTCCGCACCATGATCGCTGGCTGATCGGCGTCACCGGACTACTGGTGGTAGTCGGTGCGTGGGACTGCACGCTGGTGCGTGGGACTGCACGCTGGTGCGTGAGGCTATTGTGTTGTGTCCGGATTTGCGCGCGACGCCTGCTGGTAGCCTGGTGTCGCACGGACAATGGTGCGCTGGGAAACGCTGCGCAGGACTGGCGCGTTGGGGAGCGTCTATGCGAGAATCTCGCACGCGTTGTGCGCCTACTGCGACCTACTGTGGTGCTGCGCAAAGTTGGGCACAGCTGAGCATGGCGCGGCTGACTCTAGCTGGTGCAAGAGGATGATCACTGGTCTCCGGTAGTCATAATTCTCTATTTGTGTGAAGAACGAACAACTCCAAAAATTATATAAATTTTACAGGGTACAAATATATTGTACAGGATACGAATAAATATATTGTACAGGATACGAATAAAAGACCAAAAGATCTTATACTGTATTATCCAAACACCTTCTTCGAACGATCTTGGTGGAGTTATCGAATGAAGCTCTCAAACCTCACAAACTCTTAAAAAAAATCAAAGAGCAGATCGAATCTCATGGGAGAGAGAAATCATGCGTGTCTATAATTTCTCTTGTGTTTGGAGGCTTGAGACTTGGTGAATTTATATGGCTACAGTAGAGATCCTAATGAGATGTTAAATATGGGCTCCCCAAGTGGCCAAGCATGAGCCAAACTGTGGGCCAAGCCAACTCCCCTCAATACTCGAATAATAAATCACTATACTAAAGAAACTATTGCACTCCTGATTTATCTCTAAATTACAATTAATACGTTTCTCGGTTTATTGCTCGATTTACATCCCTAAATTTAGCAACTAACGTCTGTTGATTAATTTAATTATTGATAATATAATTAATCAACTTCTCGAATCCGAAAGTAGTACCACTCAATTTTTTTTATGATTATATCAGAAATTAATCCAGCGGCCGGACTTGACATAATAATCCTTCTTGAGCTCACTTGGGAGACGTCATCAACCCGATCTCCGGGATATGGTGACCGTAAACAATATTGATGGCACATCATGCAACCAACATTACTTACTAAAATATCGAGCATGTCGGCCTACCAGAATTAGTCTCACCCATGATAAACCAAATAAGTAAGTGCCGACTACATATTCCCGTACATTGTCTTACGGGTTAAGAATACACAACAAATAGTGAGGTCTAGATTATTTACTTGTTCAGTATAAAACTGTAGATGTCCTCTTACTTGGTCAGTATAAAATTGTGGTCAGTATAAACCAAATAAGTAAGTGCCGACTACATATTTCTTCTCTTGCGACGGTATGAACCGTAGACATCCACACTCCGTGGCTTGCGGGGATTCGGTGTTTTGAGGTGTCCTTGCTTATAATTCTTCTCAATTACATTGACCCTAACTGACTTGGTGGCTACGTCCTGCCTACGGGACCCTCGCTCGATGTTTGTAAGAGAGAACTGCTAGAAAGCAGGTCGGTTGCTCAATCAAGTCCTAAATAAATCGAAAAAACAAAGATAAAAATTCGCGAATGGGCGGGACTACACCATCGGCGGTGTTTTGAGGTGTCGGTGAATTTATCTGAATATTGTTTTGAAGGAATCAATATTTGGTAGTTAAATTCAAAACACTTGACTGAGTAAAACTTTGTTTGCATGATCCCAGGAATTCAAAATGTCTTCCAATCCGTTGTCCGTAATTCTCAAAGAAAATAAACTTGTCGGTCCCAATTATATTGACTGGAAAAGGAACTTGGATATTGTGTTAACTACTGAGGGGTATAAATTTGCTATATTGAGTATTGTCTGGAACAGTCGGGAGAGGGCTCAATAGATCAAGAGAAAAAAGAGTATGCTAAGTGGAAAAAGGCTGATGAGATGGCGAGGTGTTACATTTTGGCATCATTGTCAAATGTACTTCAACATCATCATCAGTCTATGGACAATGCAGCAGAGATGCTCAACAATCTCACGGAACTGTTTGGCCATCAGTCTCGGGCTGCCCGACAAGACGCCATGAGGACTTTGATGAATATGACCATGCGTGAGGGCACTCTCGTAAGGGAACATGTTCTTGCAATAATGGCCCAACTGAATGAGCTGGAGGTTCTTAGAAGTTTTATTGACGCGGAAACGCAGGTCGATATAGTCCTCAAATCTCTGCTGAAGAGTTTTGGGCAATTTTGGTTGAACTACAACATGAACATAATGATGTTGACTCTTTCGGGACTTCTAGTAGAACTTCAGTCGGCAGAGGGCCTGTTTAGTCAGAAGCCTCAAGCTATGGTGACCCAGCGAGGCGAGGGATCTTCTTTCAGGCCTGATAAGGGTAGGAAGAGGAAGAAGTCCACAGAAAAGGGCAAAGCAGTCATGAATGACATGTAACCTTAGAAGGGAGCGAAGAAGCCAAAAGGTAAATGCCACAGATGCAAGCAGAAATGACACTGGAAGGCCGACTGCCCTTTCATCAAGGATGGCCATAAAGGTAAATCTTTTTCATTAGTCCCTAAAACATGTTTAGCGGTGTTATCTACCAGAACCTGGTATGTAGATACAGGAGCCACTGATCATGTCTGCAATAATTTGCAGGGGTTCCAGGAAGTCAAGCGACTTAGGAAATGAGAGGTTACCATTTACTTGGGCGATATTAGTAAAGCGTCAGCTATTGCAGTGGGAGACGTCTACTTACATTTTGTTTTATATAAAATTTTAATTTTGAAGGATTGTCTCTATGTTCCTAGCTTTAGAAAGAATTTGATTTCAGTTTTTAAGTTGTTTATGAATGGTTTTTCTGCTATTTTCAATAATAAAGTTGTTATTCGTTTTGGCAAAAGTTCATATGTGATGGTCCATTAGTAGACAATCTGTATATCCTAACTGCAACATAAACAATATCTTAATTCATCATCTAATCTGAATAAGAGGAAGGAACCTTCGAAGATGAACGAAACATATCTTTGGCACTTAAGACTTGGTCATATAAACCTGAGGAGGATTCAAAGGTTAGTGGTAGACGGGTCCTTGTGGTCGTTGGAAGTTGAGGCCATTCCAACTTGCGAGTCCTGCCTAGAAGGCAAGATGACTAATAGGGTTTTTAAATCTAAAGGAAATAGAGCCGAAGATTTGTGAGGGCTGGTTCACTCCGACTTATGTGGTCCTATGTCTATTCAAGCGAGAGGTGGTTTCGAGTACTTCGTTACGTTTATCGATGATTACTCGAGATATGGGTACATTTACCTTTTGCGCCACAAGTCTGAATGCTTTGAGAAATTTTTGGAGTATAAGGCAGTTGTGGAGAAGCAGTTTAGAAAAAGTATCAAGTAGTTACGATCCGATCGTGGTGGCGAATATCTCTCGGGAGAATTTAGGAACTATTTAACGGATAATGGGATTATGTCCCAGTTGACTGCGCCTGGCACACCTCAGCAGAATGACGTAGCAAAACAGAGGAATAGGACTCTTATGGAGATAATTAGGGCAATGATGAATTATATTACATTATCAGATTCGTTTTGGGGATATGCCCTAGAAACAACAGTATACATTCTGAATAGGGTACCTTCTAAATCAGTACCGTCTACACCATTGGAGTTGTGGTCTGAGCACAAACCCAGTCCAAGACATCTCAAGATATGGGGTAGTCCAGCACATGTGCTGAGAGCAGATACTAATAAGTTAGAACCCAGAACAGAAGTTAGGCTGCTTGTGGGATATCATAAGGAAACGAAAGTTGATCTATTTTATAGTCCTGATGACCAGAATGTGATCGTTAGCACGAACGCCAGATTTCTGGAAGAAGACTATGTTATAGATCATAAGCCCACTAGTAGACATGTCCTAGAGGAAGTAAGGGGAGTGAGTACTTCAATACCGAGTGCACTTGATGATACACCACAAAGTACTGCAACACGTGTCACTGATAATGCACCTGAGCAGGTAGTACCTCGTCGTGGTGGGAGGGTTGTCAGGTAGCCCGATCGGTTCTTGGGTCTGGAAAAGTCTTCTGAGGTCATCCCAGATATGCCAGAAACAGACCCATGGACACACAATGAGGCATTTCAAGATCGGGACACAGATTCTTGACAAAATGCGATGAAATCTGAGATGGAATCAATGGA